CCGCCCCGTGGTTTCCCGGGCCTTTTTCTTCCCCAAATGGAGGGGGATGTGGGCTTAGTTCAGACGTTCTGCTCGAATATGGTACAACCAGGGCCGGAAAATCCTCACGCAAGCTTTTTAAATGGTCGATAAAGCGTGCGGGGGGGGGGGGGGGGTTTCTTTTTTTTTTTTTTTTTTTGGCATGCGCTCCCACCCGACGGGCCCCGAGTAAGCGACAACGGGAAAGCCCTCTTCTCAACAAGAGCAACCAGCTATATTTTCCCATTTTCCCCTCCCTTCCCCTTCCCCTGAAAGGAAAAGTTTTTAAAAATGTTTTTGGGGGGGGGGTGTGCCCCAAGTTCCCCTTTGGGGTTTTCAGTTTTCCCCCAAGGGGGGGCCCGCCCCCTGATTTTGTTGTCCTTCCTCCCCCCCCCCCCCCCCCGCCGCCCCCGACGCAGGTGGGGGGAGAGCAAAGGCATCGCCAAGTCTGTCCTGGGGAGCAACGTGCTGCAGCGGTATCTCCAGCACCCGCTGGTGAACACGTCCTCGCTGACGGAGGCTCTGTCGGCCGGAAGCGGGAGCGGTCAGGACCCCTCCCCCGAGGTGAGGTTGCTGGCGAAGGCCCTCAACCGGCCGGGCGGGGCTTCGGAATGCGCCCGCTTTAGGTAGAAGGGAATCGAAACTTGCACACGATGTGGTTTTGGCTCTCGCTGCGTGCTGAGAGTAGCGGGTATGTAGTGCTACGTAATCCGCACTGTGCATTGATCCCCCTTCCGCCGGGTGTAGATGTGGTACGTGTGTGGCCTGCGTGAAGCAAACGTTTGTTCTCGGCCCCTTCGCATGTCACTACCATTCGTCCAAGTATGTCCTCCTGTTTGGTTCGTTTTTCATGGACGTTCGAATGAAGACTTGAGAACGAGGGATGTGGTATGTAGATGTGCGTTTGTCCGTTTTGTTCTGGCGGTGTGCGCGCCGCTGCCCGTGGCCCACCACGTTTCAGGTGCTGGCACCCAATATCTGTGCTCTGCCGTTGAGCAAACTATTGTCCCGCAACAATTGACCAGATTTTCGTCCCACTTTAGACCCGATCATTGTCTCGACACGAAAGATGCAAGACCACTTGCAAACACTCACAACCGGATGACCACCGGTCATGCTTTCAGGTAAATCATATCTTGGTCGTTCGTCGATACTTGAAGTAGGTGTAGGAGCAAGATGTCTTCGAACAACAAGCACAAGGAGCAGAGTAGCTCCTCCTCGGCCCCCCTCAATCCTTCTGCCGCCTCTTTGGCCGCCACTCACCCCCCCCTCACCCCCTTCTCGACTGATCGGAATCTGCGGTACCCCTTGCCCGATTCTTTCCTTGACTGTTGTCACGAACTGCAACAATTCGTGTAGGCTAGCGCGCTCCGAGCTGGCGTGTGTCCATGTGCGGCGCGAGGGTTCTGTCAGGCGCATTCCACAAGTGGGTAGTGGGTGGCGAGGAGAGCGGCGGGAGCTTTCTGGAGACTGAGAGCGAGACCTTGCCGTGCAGAACAACCGAAGACCGAAGGTTTGGTTTTGGGCGGAGTGGAGGTCGATAGTGCCCGCGGGAGTGTTTACGATGGCGGTGAGCAAGAGCAGCAACCTGTGAAAGTGCTTCGGGAGAAGAGATACGCAATCCTCGCCAATCGCAGCCCCTGAGAAGCGGTAAACCTTGTAGACGTTCGTAGGCGCGGTGGTGGTTTGAAGGTGCATTGCTCTTGCACACATCGATCGCCACAAGGGGGATATCCTCCAGCGTCCAGCCGCTGCCTGAATGACGTGCGAGATGTTCGTGTGTCCTCGTTGTTATGATGGCCTTGCGCTTGTATGCGGCACGCCAGTTTTGTTGTTGGTCGTCTTCCTGCCGTATCACCCCACCCATAGCCCCAAGCAGCCCGCTATTCTACTATACATTCGGCATTGCCTGACCCTTGAGGTACCGCGCTCTGTTTTCTTTCCCACCATAATTTGTTTGTGATCGCGGTGTTTCCTGTTTCCCCGCGGCACAGACGACGTCGACGACCGGAAATTCTCCCGCGATTGCTGGAGGTGTCGTGTCATCCTGCGCCCGCTGTGGAGCAGCTGGCACTGGCCGCCGCGGCAGCCTTGATGGCGACGACAGGCCAACATCGGCCGCGCTCACGATCGAGGCCCCGACCCCAAGCAGTCGAGCCGGAGGCGATAGCGGTAGCGGCTGGACGTCCCCGCTTAGCGGTTACAACCAAAGCGCAGGTGGGGGACGAGAGAGGCCCCGATCAGCTGGAAGCGGCAAGAGCTGTCCGGAAACGACGGCCCCGGCCGCTAGATACCGACAGAACCGCGATCGTAGCGGCACCGGTGCCGGCGACGGCTTCCTCCGGATTCGGGCGACAGCCAACGCACCGCTCACATCTCCGGACGAAGACAGCCCCGGTGTTTTCGACTTCGGAGGCGGGCACGGAGGCGCGAGGGGGTATCAGTACCGCCGCCGACGCAGCCGTGCACATGGTGGGAATGCCGACGGGAGGTCTTCTCCCCCACCACCGTCACCGGCCTCGTCGCGGGCTCGCAGCATGACGAGCCCTCCCGGGGGAAGCTTCAGCGTCGTCTGGTCGAACGGCGGTACCGATGCCGTCGCACCGGTGAGTTCCACCCAGGTGGGTGTGGGCGGCAGCAGCGGGCTCATCGGTCCGGGAGTCGTCGGGGCTGGCGGGGGTGACACCGAGCGGAGATTTTTCAGCACCGCTTCCAGCGAGCCGCGGTATCACTACCTCCGGTCTGGGTTGTCGAGCCCGGCATGGAGCAATGCCGGGAGTTGGACCGGCAGCACGGACGAGGTGATGCCAGTGGACACGTCTGATGCGTTGTCGTCATCGTCTGGGGAGGAGGAGGTGGAGGAGGAGGAGGAAGGCGGGCGAGGGGGAAGAGAAGTTCATGGGGACGGGAGTGGAGTGAAGAAGTAGGGTTCGAGTTCGGGTTGGAGGTTTCGGTTGGTGGTGGTAATTCTTGGTGGGCTCTGTGTGACGAAGAGGCGGAGGTGTAAGCCTTTCATTTTTGTGGATAGGGTTCATTGGTGTATATCCATCGGGGTGTCGAAAGGAGTGGTGTTTCGCATATGGACGGCGGAGTCGAACCTTTTCGTGATGGAGAAGGTGGTAATGGCCGGCGTGAGCATTCCGTGAGGTTTATGATGGAAGCCGTTGTGCAATGTACCAATCGCTGCGCATCCACCACACCATACGATAATTTGAATGACAAGAAATATGTGGCGGGCACAGCCGTGTGCTTGGTTCCGGTAAGATTCAGGGAAACGGCATGCGCTGAAGTATCGGTGCCAGCTACAGCAGTGGGGGTACGGTGAGGTCGACCCTGGTGGATGCATTGTTACGCGAGGGTGGTGTTTGCTGTTTTTTTCTACAGGCCGGTGATGTTGGAGGTCTTTAAGCACGGGGCGATGGCGCTTGTCGATGGGTTTTGAAGTACGGTAAGGGAGGCCTTGACGACTCTCAAGAAGATCAGCAGCAGTGGGCCACAGCCGGCAGCGAGCGTTGAGTAGGTATCATGCGCTTTCGCTGGCGACAAAGTTGTAAGCAATTTGCTTTGGGCGTTTCCGCTATCGATTGCGAAGGAATTGGAGACCACACCATTATTGTGGAATTTACTGCCCTACTCGACAGTAATACCCCCGTTGTCAATGTTGATGATCCGTGATCTGAGTGACTCCGGTGTCTACTAGGTGCCCGTTCTCCGAAAGAGGTCAAGTCGTGTACTGCGGTAACTATGTTTTGTCACACGATCCTCAGGCGTGAGTAGCTCGCTGTGTTCTTGCCATGCCTAGGCATCGCTTCAAGCCTAGTGCTCCTTCTTGCCCGGCGCCAATGAGTCGAACCCCTGTGCGACTCATCAGATGGGCACATGCAGAGGCCAAAACAATTGGGTTCCTCAGTAGACTTGGAGGTGCAGCCGCTGGCGTTTCAACGAACATGCGCACAGTTACTAGGGCATCCGAGTTGCACGCCCTACCCGACACTATGCTCTCCTTACGGCAGATCGGAGTACACCTGAAAGTTGTACTGCACGCTATACCTGGTCTCAGTTTCCGTGCAACTCTTCTGGAATTACTCGACGCCTTTCAATGTCCTCTTCGTAGTTTGCGGTTGTAATTTTTCTAGACCGCCCTTTGATAGCTCGGCGTCTCATCGTTACCATGTAGGGTCAGCCCTTGACCGACCAGATCATCGGAGGAAACTCTGTTTTACACTGTTCGAACCATGTTTTGGTCTACAATACAGTCGGGTGCCTTCTCTCTCTCTCTCTCCCATTCTCTCCGCCTGCTCTCCCGTTGATGTTGACCCATATTCTGAGGGGGGGGGGGGCGATCTTCTCCGATCTTCGCATTTTCTGGAACCCCCCGTGAGCGCTTTGTGGGCCCACACACGCTCACTCTGCTCTGCCCTCCCCCTCCCTCAGCACACTACACCGATCGGGATCCTGCTTGTAGCGTGCATCTGAGTTCGAGCGCATCGAAGCTACCGGTGACAGCAGTGCCACTGCGAGTCGCCGCGCGAAGACGTTCGGCTTCGGATCTTGTGCGGGACGGGACCAGACTCCCAACCCGGGCAAGCAAACAAAGTACACACAGGTGATTTCGCGCGAGGCAAGAAATGAGCATCTAGGCAGACGTACGCAGAGTATAATCGCAGTGAGTAAGTTTAAAACGAGGTTCGAGGCTTCTCCACCATGGCGGTTGGTGCGAAGAGGATCATTCTTTGTTCGTAGGAATCTGCCCTCGCGTCATGCTAATTCTGCTCTTTCCGCCACCGGCGGCTGAGTTTTGTCCGCCTCCGATCCTCTCTGTCGTCAGCTTTCATGCCGCAGCAGTCTCGGTAATTCTGAGAGCTACATCATACGAAACCAAAATCCCCACGGGCTTTCTGAAACACCTACTGTAGCAGTATCCCCCAGCGGGAAAGAGGAGAGTAGCGCCCCTGGCCTGTGTCATATATATATGGATCCGAAGGCAGGCAAGCACGCAACACTTATGAGCGGGAGAGAGGAACCATCCATGCCAACCAGCGGGTGAAAATTTTGGCATTCGTTGAAAAATTGTCCCCACAAAGAACGTCCATGTAGAAAAGGGGCGGAGAAAAGAAGCGGTGAAAGATCAAAGACCAACCAAAGAACACAGCACAGCGTCTTCCGAGATGCCGGTGTTCCCCCGTCCCCTGCCTTCCACCGACTGCCAGATTGCTGGCTCTCTTTGGCTTCAACCAACCCACAATGTACCGCAGAACGCCCAC